CTTTAATAATATAGTAGGCGGTTAGCTCCGGGTTAGGGTTTTTTATACTGAAACCCCCCCTTTCACCACCCAGCCAGGCCCAGGTCAAGCCCTGCCCCAGGCCTGTTCAGTGCCTAAGAGTGCCCTGTCTTATGTAACACCCCTTGTCTGAAATTATTGAAATTCAAGGGCCTGGGTGAATGGCGAATTGCTCAAAAAAATCGCGAAATTTCAGCAATTTGAAATTTCATTTCCGCACCCTATTGTGCACGCGCTATGTCAACTGTTTTATGGGTGTTAACGTCTTAGGACGCACGGGCATAACTAACGGCTACCGCACATGCAAGAGCCTCCTATTAGGTGACATCAAACGTTTGTGCCCCTTTTACCTGCCGAAATTTTGAGATTTGAAGGTTACCTATGCAAGCTTGGTCCCACTGGCCCCGTTAATGAATTGCATCGAATCCTACGCATAACAGAGCGCAAAGCAGACGCCAGTGAGAGACGCGCATTCGCCGCCGACATTACCGACCCGAAGACCCTCTTTGAGCATCGACGACGACTACGACGACGACGACGTCGTGAAATCGTAAATGAGACGGAACTGAGCGACCCAGGCTGACGCCGGCAAATCCGTGCTACTACCGACCAAGATTTAGACCAGACCGACAGAGTCGATCCATTCTTTTCGACATGGCGGTCGCTCGCCCGGTGAGGGCGCTGGCGCTGGCCGCCATCCTGTTGTGGTTTTTCTTCATATGGCAGCTCTTTACGCCTTCCTCACCCCGGCCGAAGCCTCTAGGATCTCTCGAGAGAGATCCAAATCTGGATCGTAAGGTGCTCCCAAAGGCCCTGTGCGTTCCTCCCACGTGCTGACAACGAACAAGCTACGGGCGAGCCCGAAGGCCACCTCGTATACGCATCCAAAGACTATGCGCCAGGCCCCGCCGGCACGGCGCGCATCAACGCCACGCTGCTTGCGTTGGTACGGAACGAGGAGCTGGACGGCATGCTGCAGGCGATGCGCGATCTCGAGCGGACGTGGAACCACAAGTTCAACTACCCCTGGACCTTTTTCAACGATGTGCCCTTTTCAGACGAGTTCAAGAAGAAGACGCAGGCGGTTACCAAGGCTGAGTGCAGATACCGTATGATTACACACGCACCTCTGAAAAATCGGAGCAGGGAACAAACACACAGGCTGACGGCAAGATAGACGTAATCCCCAAGGAGCACTGGGAGGTGCCGTCGTGGATCAACAACGACCTTTTCAAGGAGTCGGCCAAGATGCTCGAGGAGCAGAAAGTGCAGTATGCCAGCATGGTCTCGTACCACCAGATGTGCCGATGGAATAGCGGCCTGTTCTACAAGCACCCGGCGCTGGCTGACATGCAATACTACTGGCGGGTCGAGCCCAAGGTGCACTTCTTCTGTGACGTCGACTACGACGTCTTCCGCTACATGCAGGACAACAACAAGACGTACGGCTTTACTATTAACTTGTACGATTCCCCGCAGTCCATCCCTAATCTCTGGCCCGAGACGCTCAAGTTCCTCGCCGAGCACCCCGAGTACCTGCACGAACGCAACGCCATGAACTGGCTGACGGACAAGGATCGTCGCCCCGAGCACAACAAGAAGGCCAACGGCTACTCGACCTGCCACTTTTGGAGTAATTTCGAGATCGCCGACATGAGCTTCTGGCGGAGCAAAGCCTACGAGGACTACTTTAACCACCTCGACCGGGCTGGCGGCTTCTTCTACGAGCGATGGGGTGACGCGCCTGTTCACAGCATTGCCCTGGCTCTCTTTGAGGACTCGAGCCGCATCCACTGGTATGGTGTCCATGAACATGGCCGACCCTTGACTGTCCTTAGCCGCTAACAGCATCCAGGTTCCGAGATATCGGATACCAGCATATTCCATTCTTCAACTGCCCCAACTCGCCCAAGTGCAAGGGCTGCGTGACGGGCCGCTTCACTGACGGCGAAGCTTTCCTTTACAAGGAAGATTGCCGGCCTAACTGGTTCAAATATGTTGGCTATGGCTGAGGCGACGACCGGCCCCTTTGGCTTGGAGAAACGAGGTATTACCGAACCGGTCCCGATTCCGAGCTGCAAACTGAGAGCTGAGACCCCCCTGGCTGGCGCCTTCCAGTGCACAGTGACTGTTATGGGGGCTATGGTTCCGAGGTATTGAAACATATGTGAATACGATGGTGTCTGGCGCAGGCGGTATAGTTCTAGTCGCTAATCATGTAATCTACATCACGGTGGTTTGGAAAGGGGAAAATGGCAGGTTGGATGGATAGACGTTAGAATCGGGGGGAGAATGCGGGCAGGACGATAGAAGATCACGGCCGCCCACCTCCGTGATATCTTCCGATTAAGACGTATATGTCTGCCTATGTTTCTTTCCTTTCTTCTTGTTTTCCCTCTTCCGTCTTACCCCTTTCCCCCGTGGCCAAACACCGTGACCACGCCGGAGGTGCCGCCGACACAGAACTGATCCCCAAACCCTCCTTCCTTCCACGCGATGCAGCTTACCACATTTTTGCGCTCCTTCTGCTTGCCGTCCCTGCCAATCACTTTTCTCCGGGCCTCACTGCCCCCATTATCCCACCAGGGGACGGGCACCGTAGCGACCAGTTTACCCGTGAGCAAGTCCCACGCCCACACCCTCCCTTGGTTTCCTCCTCCTTCCGCTGTTCCAGTGCCCGGCCCAGCACCGGTCATCTCATCGCCGGTAACGACATACCTCTCCCCGCCGCCAAGCACACTCTGTACCCTAAACTCCTCATTCCTCCACCCGGCATCCCCGTACGTCCTCAGGCAGGTCCCGTCCCGCCGGTCCATCAGCCGTATTTTACTGTCCAGCGTCCCGACAAGCATCGTCCGCCCGTCCCTGGCCAGGCACAGGCTGGTCACGCTGCCGGGGAAGACATCGGTGACGCACCTACCCATGCGGACGTCGTAGCACCGTACGCGGCCGTCCACGGAGCCGGCGAGTATCTCTGGACCCACAACGGCAAGGGAGGTGACGGCGTCCTTGGCGCCTTTGAGGACCTGCACGGGACGGTTCGCGCTTCCACCACCACCACCGCCGGGACCGGCAGAAACGGCCGCCTTGACGTCCCACACGCGCACGGTGCAGTCCAGGCCGGCCGAGACGAGCAGCGATTCGTTGCCGCCGTCGTCCTCGCTGCCGGCAAAGCACACGGCGTTGACGCGCCCCGTGTGGCCGCCACCGCCGCCGCCGCTGCTAGAGGAGGAAGAAGCGGACGAAAAGTCGCCGAACCGCCGGATCGTCTTGCCCGTCGACACGTCCCACAAGAGCACGGCCCGGTCGCCGCCCGCCGACGCAAATGTTGCGTTGCTCCGCGCCACGGCCAGCGAGAGAACCTCGTACGCGTGCGAGCTGTACGTCTGGATCAGGCGTCCCGCGGGTGGCGGTGCTGCTGCTGCTGCTGCTGCTGCTGCTGCTTGGGGCTGTCTGTGGCTGGTGGTGGTGGTGGTGATGAAGGATGATGTGCTGGTGGTGTCGGTTGTTGTTGTTGTTGAAGAGGGGTTGTACAGCCGGATGGACCGGTCCGCGGAGCCGGTCAGAATGTACGTCCCGGGGGAGGCGGAATAGGCTACTGCGTGGACGGGGCCTAGAACAAGGGGGTTTAGCTTGGTTGCCTTGTTTGGCGAGAAGGCTGTTGGGTCGGGTGGGAAAGGGGGATAAGCAGGAGGGGGTTGGCTTGTTGGGTGACTGGCAGGGAGGGTGGCGGGCGGCAGCTCCAACGCTGCTAGCCGCTGGCTTTTCTTCAAGCCGCTGCGTCATGACTCGGGGGTGGCTTTTGAGCAGCGCTAGTGCCGGCGAGAAGTTCAGGTAACAGCACTATGCCGGCCGGCCCAGCCAGTGGCTTTGGATGGCACGGCACCATGGCCGAGAGAGGGAATGCAGTCCGAGGCATCTGCAACAACAGAAGTACCAACAGAAATATACCAAAGGGGGAGACCCTTACCATTGGACCCAAGCAGCTGGGCTACTGGTCGAGTGGGGAACGCTGCGGCATTCTTGCTCATGGCCGGGCAAATTCCCTTCGACTCTCGCCGCCGTCGGTGTTACCAGAAGTCATGAACTCAGGTTGTTTCCAGCGTGCTGGCTCGGGCGTATCACAAAACCCTCCCGGCTGACTGCCCCAACGCCCCTCTCTTGCGTAAAGTCGGCACTGCAAACCACACAGCCCTAAGCACTAGGACGTAGCGCCGTGATTATGGCAACTCCTCCCGTCGCTCCTTGGTGGAGAGCACAAGATCTCAAGATAAGGTCCGAGACTCAAATCAGAGTTGCTGAAATGGTAAGACTGGTGGAGAGTGGCCGACTGTCGATGCAATGTGGTCAAGGAAATGCACTTGGCGGCTGACAGAGCTAAGAAAGACGCCGGTTCTTGTGTTGACGTTAGCTATTCTTGCATGTCGGCCCCCGCGAGGTTGTCTGTCTGAACGTACGACAGGTCACAATAGTTGATAATGGTGTGAGCGCTAAGGATCAGTAGCTAGTCGGATTGTCGATGGTACGGATACGAAGGTAAGGATCAACTTGTTAGCATGCCGTGCTTAACTTTTGGCACAGAAGGTGTAATTGAACTGCATTCCATAATTACAGACAATCACGTTGTGGCCTGAAAGATACAGACCTATGGATGTGTAATTACAATCGACAATACACATGTCCTTGTAGCGGATTATGCACTCACCCCCTCGCATTTCAACTCCACTCACTCCCCGGAACAATTTCCTTCTAGAAGCACACTAGAACCCCGCTCGCCCGCCAAGCAAGGGACGTTGACTTCCACCAAGTGAAACCCCGGCATTCGTGATTGTGGCACAAGCGCTAACAAATGGCAAGTCCATGTCAGCCACTGCGCCGTAATCCTGCCTTCTGCAACAAAGGCGTATATTTCCCCTTCTGCCCAGTTGTGTCGTGTCCGGAGGATTAGTTGCTGCAACACAACAAGCGAGAGGTGGCAGAGGCGGTCGAACTTGGCATTGGTCAAGCAGCATGCGCATACTCCGTACTAGTCCCCTAGTTAACCGTGTTTTGCATTGAATATTTGCATCGAGCTAACAGACGGCACGCCTCCCGGATGGCCGGCTGCCGTCCACAGAAGGATTCATCATACGAGTCAGTGTCATTTGGGCGTCGCGTGACGGGACGGCGGGATTGTACTGTATTGTACAAAAGATGTTCCATGTGAAGACCTAGGATAACAATGTGCCGAGGCAGATAGCTGCCTTAGGTAGATACTCCGTAGATACTAGCAAACACTGCGGGTATACATGAATGTGAAATCAAAATACCTAGCCAAGGTATCGGGTAGGTAGGTAGTCAGGAATATGAGAAATCCTGGCCATTGACCGCCACCTAACTCTCCCGTTTTGAGAAACCCCCAAGAATTCAAAAGGCAGATATGTAAACCCAACGCCGTGATGCATGCGATGATGCTTGCTAAGCCAAGTTAGCCAACCCCGCCGCCCCTGGTACTAGCAATACATACATTACAACTCAGAAAAGGAGAAGCCAAGGACTGAGCCGTCGAGATAAGATGACAAAAGGGAGAAGAAAACAGAGGAAGAATAAAACAAGAATAAAAATAAAAAGGGAAGAGAGGGTAGATACTATGTAGCAACAATGGCCATCCCCCATCGTCACTTTGTACTGTATACCGAGAGGATGATGTGGCGTGTGCAGCATTATCTCGTCCCGTCTCTTTTATGTGCATGTCCACCTTAAAGTCGTTTCATCCTATCTCGCCATGCTCGCGTCTGTCCGCGACGTCTTTAGAGCACGCCAGCCATATTTCCTCGGTATAGAGTTGCAATTCCATTCCAGCTGCATCGGGTATCGCGCGTGTTGTGTAGCGTCGGAAATAATCCTCCATGAAATCGAGTACGAGTGTTGTCGTAAAGCAGTCACGAACTCCCCCTATTGACCTTATCATTGACAATAGGCCGACCCGGACCACCATTCTATATAATCCTGCTCCGTGATCAAACCGAACTCGAGTCAACCGCTAATTGCTTCCGTCTCATCGCTTGGCGCGGTCAACCCTCCAAGTCTGATCCTGACTGAACATGGTGGGGTAGCCAACAAGATCGCGTCTCATATCCCCTGCTCAGACGATTGGGGCTATACACGAGCATCGGGCCTTCCGTTGAGTCTTGCGGCGGCTTGGTGCGACCGCTGTTCGGCTACCACGTCATATGCCCGGTTCGGAGACGAAGCCGAGTGTGCGTCCGGCACGGAGGTGGTGTACGGGTCCGCCTGCCAAGGCCGGTGCTGCAGAACGTCCTCGTGGATGCGCGGTAGCGATTCCGGATGATGACTCGGGTGATGCCGCCAGAAGGGAGGGGCGGTGGACGGCGGCGTCGGACCCATCGGAGGCATAGCACTACTAGTCGTCGTCGGGTTGTAGTGTTGTTGATGGTGATGATGATGTTGTTGTTGTTGATATTGTTGTTCGTAGCCTCCTAGCCTGGCTCGTTTTAGGCGCCCCGAACCGACCGAATCCGGGCTTGCTGGTCTGCCAATGGTGGTTCGGGGCGAGACGGACCCGCTCGAGTGGCTGCCTGGTCTCGTACTAGTAGTGGTGGTGAGTTCTGTCGGCGGTCTCACATATCCCCCCAGTCGCCGCAAGTCCTCGGGCTCGGCTGGCGGGGTCGACGGAGATGTGTTGTGACCGCCTCGGGGGCTGTAGGAAACAAAGCAGCGCGGTTAGATATTGCGACACTTCTCTTTGAAAAAAAAAAGAAAAGAAAAGAAAAAAAAAGAAAAAAAAAGAAAAAAAAGAAAAAAAAATCCTTGGCTTAAAGATAATAACTTACGCGTTTTTGAATTTGCAGACCCGGCCAAACTTCTCGCACTGCACGCACCGCGGGTAGTCGGGATCGCACTTGATCTTTTTCTCTCGGCAGGTGACGCAGGCAATGGCCAGTCTCTTTCTCGGCTTTCCGGCCTTGGTCACGCCCCAATGCGCGTTGACGGCCTCTCCATCGATGACCGTCTTGCAGTGGCTCCCGTCGTCGTAAAAATAACACATGCCCTCGCCAGGCACTTCGGCCGCCCGGACGAACCGAGGGAGGAAGTGCGTTCCTGTCCAGATTTTGGGCCCCAATCCGTCCTTCGTCGGCACGCTCTCCGAGCCAAGGCCGCTACTACTGGTCGGTGTCGCCGGGGAATTGTGCGCCGCCGGCGTCCGTGGTGTTAGCTGCTGCTCCCGGAAACCCTCTCTGCGGCCATCGTCCAAGCTGCCCGCCGCTGCTCCTGCCACGTGAGAAGGTCTGTCGGCGGCCGGCTTGTAGAGCTGCGGTTCGCGGCTGCCGAGCGAATATTCCCGGCCGGCTTCATGCTGCACCGGCCATTGACTCCCAGAACCGTGCTCCGAGCCGCGGTTTTCCTGCCTTTGGTGGTCGAGTCGAGACTGGGGCGAGAGGGGTCCGGGAAAAGCCGGATGAAGAGGTGGAATCTGAGGGCGGTCCTGAAACCGCAGGTCTAGCACGCTCCGCGGCTGCGATGTAGCCGATGTCGTCGGTGGGAAGTACGAGGATGATGACCCCCCAAACGGTCGGTCAAGCGGTGATGGGGATGCCGAGTATGGCGCCGGCCGGTCAGTAAATGGCGAGTGAAGCGGGGGAATCTGCGAGGGCGGCCCGAACAGGCTGCTCAGCGACGGAAGCTGCTGCCGCGGTGCACTTTGGTCATAGGGGGAGCCCTCTCCGCGAGCCCGTGTTTCCTCCAAGCCCATGCCAGACGACGACATGTCTCTTGCCTTGACGGTCGGATCATACTTGGACATAGGCGGAGACGGAGGAGGCAGCGGGTTCCAAGTTGGCGCCTCAGACTGCCTACAGGGAAACACGGCCGAGTCCGGGGTGAGTGCCTCTGGTGGGGTGTCTGGAATGGCTGAGCGAAATCGAGGTTCGAGACAGGACGCACACCCCATTGAGACGGGCTCGTTTGGAGCGACCTGACCAAGTTTCTAGTCCCTCGTCTGTGTCCGTGTCATGAACTCCCCCAGCAGCACAGCAAGGCAAGACGGGGAAAGGAGGGTTGGAGATCCTTTGAAAGGCTTGTCGATGCTGCCAAAACACAGACACACGCACGCGCACACGCACACGCACACACACAGACACAGGCACACACAGATGAGTGCAGTGTGGTTTCGCGGCAGACCAGAGAGGGCCCAAGGGGTGAGGGCTAACTAGATATTCGCCTCGGGTAAACGTCCAGGGGTGTACACGGGCGGCGCAGTCAACTCAGGGCTGCCGCTGGCTCAGAGTTCATCAGACAAGCATGCCGCCAAGTCCCACCAGGAGGAGCGTACCGATCCCCGGATAAGTAAATTGGACACCAATAACGGTGAGATGCACAGGCGATCTGTTGGTGGTTTCAAGGCCCTGGGAAGCAGGGGGGGCCAGGTCGACCAGGTGCAGCAAACAACAGGGTGCGGACGCAAGGTTGCTGTGCGTCCCAGACAGTCTCTCGAGGTACGGAGTAAGGTAGTGTAATTTAGTGATGATCCGGGGCGGGTGGAGGAGGGAGGGAAGGGGGGTTCCCGGACAAAAAGAATGGAAGCGCTGATGGTTGATGAGAGATGGCAGTCTTGCCGGGTGCATACAATGAATGTAATGTATGCACGTAAGGTATGGATATACCTTAACTGCGTGGAGAGGGGGACAAGATCGGGTGTTGGGCTGCGTATGCCGGCCTCGTGCTGCACGAAACACAGAAGCCGGGCCTTTCTGTCGGTCACACTCCCAAGGGAAAGATCGATGGAGAGTGACTTGTTGATCTGGGGGGCTGCAGCCTGCTTGGATAAGGTACCTAGGCTCAGCTAGGCCAAGTGTATGTACTATTGTATGTATCCGTACATTCAAACACAAGCACGAAGTACTCGTACACTAAGCCAGCCCGGCCCGGTGGATTGCTGTTCATGGTTCAAGGTGCACCCACGGGCTGCCGCCTCCTGGATCATTCTTAGCGAGTTACTTACCCCTGCGGGTTAGGCCTACGTTTTCTCCAGCAAGGAAGGCCAACCCCAGGGCCAGGGCTTTTCGGCAGTGCGGCATGGGCGGTGCCTTCTTCCTATTGAGGCACGCAGTATCCGCAGCGATCCACCGTAAGGAATTGCAAGCGGTTAGGCCGGCGTTCTTCAGACGGTTTGGGAGCACTGCTTAGCGTACAGTATTGTACAGTATCTACATAACTAGCACGTCCACGGGTAGTGTACTGGTAGTAACGACGGATGATATGTAGGTAGCCACCTTAACAGGCCAGGAAGACTCATCCCATTTCCCGTCATAACAGACTTTCATGGTTGGTCATCCTGGCGGCAGCTTGGGAAGCGAAAATGGAGGGGCGTGGAGATGGCGAACGGGGGGTGGAACGGGTTGGCTGTGTAAGCCCGGCAGGGGTACGGTCTTTTGCCAGCTCTTGGCCCTTCTTGTGTCCTGGCTCGCCTGGCCAGGGACATTGTGACCGCGGTGAGGGGTTGGTGGATGGGATGGGATGGATGGCTACCACGAGGCAAAGAGGGTTCGGGAAGATAAGAGAGGCTGGAAAGGAGTGTGTGATGGACCGGGACTTTTCGATCATGGGACAGGGACAGGGGTTTCAGCGAGCCCAAGCTGCGGGCTACAGCCGCCAAGAGCACCGATGAATGTCGAACAAACCAGAGATCGAGCGGGGATACCTTCGTGACTTCGTCGAACCTCTGCAAAATGGGATCATGGCGCCGCATGCCTTGGGGTATTCGGGCCGCTGGCTCAACTATTTCGCCGTTCTACTTCGCACAGAAGCTGGGAGCGGATTGGACTCAGTAGAGAAGCCGACGCCCAGAGGACGCAAGGAAGATGGCCAAAAGCGTGCGTCTGGATTCTGTTCACAGAGTTCAGAAGCCAATGT